ATAAATAAATAAATAATAAATAAATAAATAAATAAATAAATAAACTTTGATTCTGATGCTGAAAATACTTCACTTTCCATCTAGAAAATGTGTGGACTTCAAAGCTTTACAGACCTGCGTGAGAGGACTTGTTGGTGCTTAGATTAACATGTAGATTAACCTGGAACTAACTACCAAGTCCCTAACAATGGAGGATAAATTAACCATTTAAAAAAAAAAGTCTGAATCTTCTCATTAAGTGAAATATTCTGCCAGTGCAGTAAGACCAGTCGCCTTGGTAAAACTTCTTGAAATAAGAAAAAAATACAGCCAAACAAGATTAATAATCTAACATATTCAGCTCTTGCTTATGATATCAAGTTTCAACATTTTAGTCTTCAAAAGAGTGTCCCTTATCCTAAGATGTAGGTGGAAAGCTGAGTCTTGTCCTGAAGACCTGCTCTCCTGTGCTGAGTCATGTGTCTCTGGAGAGGCTGCTTATATAGAGGTGTGAGCATTCCTCAGTGCACTGAACAGCACGCACCCCACCACTCATCTTGGCTTTAGGGGTTCTGTCCTTGGGATGGACCGGCCACTGTTTGAGGGTCCTGTTGGGTTTAAAATAAACCGGGATCTTGTGTTTGGAGAAAATCCTCCTGTTTTTCAGCAGCATACGGGATAACTATGTTTTTCTCCCTGTTCTGTTCTGCAGCAGAGTCTCGGGGATTTCTTCGCTGATTTTATCAGAGCGAAAACTTTCATGTGCAAATGTGTTTTTGTAGTTTGTCTAAGGAAGTCGATATTGCAAAGACACCCTATAGTTTTGTGTGTTAATGACTTACTGAATGTAGTTTTTGGTATAAACCACACGCGTTGCAGACGTAGCCCCCGTTAGCGTTTTTCCTCCACAGTGATGTCTTGGTGGTCAGGCAGTTTGCACAGAAAACCCCACTACCTCTGCGCCGCTATGGAGAGAAACAAGAACACATTAGAAACTCAAGAGTTTGAAATTTAGACTTGCATTAAAATATTAGAATTGAGAACCAATGAAGTAAAAGCATATCCTGTGAAATGGGGAAGAAACTTTATTAGAAGTATTACGGTCTGCGGTGATTTTACTAAACAAAAAAACAAACAAAAAAACACTAAATAACTCTTCATGAAAATAAAATGATCTAACTCATTCAAACGGCTTGCTTGTGTTTGAAATATGTACACGGGAGACTCTTGAGATACTGGAGGATTATTTTTGTTGAGTGCTACTTGAGAGAGACGAGCAGAGATGAGTTCTGCTTTCACCTTGCAGGGGGAAAGTGTTGCTCTGAACTGAAGCAGGCGCTCTGCAGGCCGGTGTTTGACTTGTACTGTGTTGGTGTTCTCATATACAGACCTCTGCAGTGCTCTGTGAGGTGGTGCATACAGAAGCAGCGTGTTCAAAAAAAAAGGGGGTGTGATGGTGGCGGTAGTTGTGAGGGGGGTGGGGGTGAAAAGGCCAATTGTTGTAGCAATGTGCTCCATCACAGTAATGAGCCAATCACAACGTTTCTCCATCCCATTAAGCCTCTGGCCCCACTCGCCACCTTTATGACCCTGGGAGGACAGCACACCTCATCCTTCTCCTCCGCGACTCAGTCTCTCCCTCCATTTGCATGTCTAGCATGTCTCGCCTTCCTGTGATTAAAGTGAAATTTCACCGTTCTTCTTTTTCCTGCCTTTATTTTCTCCTCTCAAGTCTCAGCCGCTGAGAATTCCTCGGTTGTTGCTTCCACGATGACAACTCAAGAAGTTAAAGCTTATTTCCATCGAGTGGCAAAGCTATTTGAAGCAAACTGTTGCAATGAGGGAACCAGAGAAATATGCATTTAGCTTGTTTTCATGAATAAATCAGTATTATTGTTGTCAACAGGTGGAGGTGAAGGTTGAGTCAAGTAGGGCGGGAGATGCTGGCTAATCACAAAGTTTAAAAGGGGACCTATTATGCAAAATACACTTTTTAAAAGTTTTTTTACTCAACTTTGGGTATGTACTTCTTAAAAAAACAGTCCTAGGACCAAAAAAAATACACCCAGGGGCATATTTACTGTAAGTAAATGTATTTTTTATGTATATTAACGACAAGTTTTATACTTCTGTCATTTTGTGATGTCACAAGCCGTACGACAACCCACCTGAACCTGCATTCAGCCCTTTACCTAGCAACCTCCGGGTGAAACTCCACCTCCTCAGTATGAAAAACCATCACGGTTGTTGTGCAATGCGCAACTTATTTCACAACAAGCCTCCAATAGGGCAATGGGTAGAGTGTTGGACCAGAGAGTAGGAGACCAGGATTTGAGTTTGGCATGGACAAAAATTATATTTTATTTTCATTCGTTATGAACACGTTTTCTCATGTACCTMTATTGTTTAGCTTATTAAAGCCTTGTTAAAGCCTATTTGTTCGAGTTTCTGTGGTATTTTGACCGCTGCTGCTCCCTGCTCTGGTAACAGCATGCAGAGTGAGCGCAGAGCAGANACAATTTAATTATTTATTTATTTTCATTCGTTATGAACATGTTTTCTAATGTACCTCTATTGTTTAGCTTATTAAAGCCTTGTTAAAGCCTATTTGTTCGAGTTTCTGAGGTATTTTCACCGCTGCTGCTCCCTGTTCTGGTAACAGAGCACAAAGCAGAGGAGGGGGAGAAAAAAAGAAGCTGYGACCACGACTCTGCCTCTGGGTCTCATATGGTTGTACAACGGAGCTTCTGCTATTATTAGCCATGCTAACGTAAACGCTGGCTTTGGAGGGCTGAGTTAATGTCAACAGATTTTTGGAGGGCGTTACCAACAGAGCTCATTAACATAAACAGCTCTTCTGAACAGAAGTCAGAGCAGGCAGAACTAGAAAATGRGAAATTTYATTATCTGAGAATTATTTWGTGCATTAAATTGAATGAACATGGTCTGGATAGCCCACAGACATACCATAAAAATTTCTAGRACCCATAATTGGTCTCCYTTAAACCCCCATGCAACACATATTATCATAAACAAGAACTTCTTATATTATTTATTTTTACTCGTAGAACTTTTTAGAACAACTTATGTTCATTCTATTTTTCTTTGGAGYCATTTTATTTTGAAATAAGCCAGTCTGCTTTGGAGATGCACAATATTTTGTTTGAGCATCGCCATCGCAATGCACGTGTCACACTGCAGGTGCTGCAATGTAGGAGGCAAATTAAATCAATGTGTGGTAATGTAATATATGTAAAGTAATGTRATCTATGGACTAAACCACAAGTCCTCGCACTAAACTGTTGTGAGTTACGGCTTTTATAGGGCGGCTTTGGGTCAAAAAAGCTAAAACTTGCATTTTGTTGTGAGAAATCTGGGACAATGATAGCAAGGTTATTCAGTGAAGTGTTGTCGGTAAATTTGCRAGCTGTGGAGGAAGAAGACGAGGATACAGACATAAAATAAATAAATATGTGTAATGCACAAAAAGGGGGTAAGATCAGTGCAGGTTCATCCTCAACAAGATGGCAGAAGAACTTCAAGGTATAATCAAGTCATCTGTGGAAAAGTCCTGTATTTTTTAATATCCTAAAATATATATTTTTCTATTCAATTCAAAAAAAATTATTCATTTAATTTAAAACATACTATACACAATAAAAAACAAAGAAAATACACAAATCAAACATCAAAATAAAATGAAACGTAGCAGAAGAACAAATCTTATGGCTGCCCCTTTTATCCCCAGAATATATTCAAACAAAACATAATGTACAAAACAACACAACAAAAAGAAAAACATCAACTCAAACAACAATTCATATAGCTTCACATTTTACTTTTCCATATACCTTCAGAAAACTAGCTTTTATCTGTCTCAAATATACAGTATACATAGATCTGTATGTAGATGGATATATCGCAAGGTTAGAAAAAATAATTGCAAAGTCAGTTTTTCCAAATATCGTGCAGCTTTAGTCTGCTTGATCATTCAGAACTCAACAAGAACTGTGTCATACTAATTCTGTCATCTACTGTACACTCGTCTCAGAGGGTCTGCCACGTCCTCCTGTGTGCAGCCTCGTTTTACAAAATGTGCAYGCCAACTTTGAAAATAAACATCTCGTCCAAAAGCTTGTGCCAAACAACAGCAGGAGCCCCGTATTTTTAAAGCGACACATTGTGAGGGAATGTGTTGTAAATTTTAACTCTGGGACCATGGAGAAAAGTAATGTTTTTTTTTTTTCATGTTTTCTCTTGAACTTACCGTTGACAAACCCACACACTTTCGCCACCTGTTAGGCTGGAGTTTAAAACTGTAAGCCCTTGAGTTCAATTTTTGGGCTGCAGCTCACCCACAAATMGTGTGAATACAAATCGTGCGCGATGGCAAAGATCCCAAACTCCTCTGCTCGCAGACACACATCTCCCGAGTGTCAGTCAGTTCCTTCTTTTCCCTTCATCAAGAACTCTTGCCCTTAGGGTCTCCTTTTGTTTGTGCTGTCTTCTTCCTGTTTTATGTTTGTGACACAGCTGAGAGCGATGCATACCTCCACTTGGAGGCTCGGAACATCCAGTTCTGCAAGTTAAAAACGCCGAAGAATGCCTCGCTTCAATCAGGCTGTCTGTGGTCTCAAAGCTACAGATGGAGCCACCGCTAGCACCTCCACAGAGCATCTGTTTTGTGCTGCCAGCTAAAAGCATAAAAAGCCCAGAAGGCCCAGCAGTGTTAAGGTAATTTTTGCAATCTAATGCACTGCAAAGATCACAGCACATTTAACCAGTTTATGTTTCTTTTGGGAACGCACACATGCTCTGTGGCACGAACAACTTGATGTAAATACATTTGCGGGGCATAATTGGGCATTAACAAAGAAAGTGCAACTGTGTGAAGATGCTTTAGAAATCCAGTGCTGGAGAATCACTCAGTGCTTTAAATATAAAAGTAAACACGTAACAGACCTTTTAACTCTTTGCCATACAAGATCAGATTGTCCAATAAGTTAAAACAGCAGCTCACCATAACCGGGTTGATTTATTCTAGAAAAAACTTGTCRCTTTGTTTTCATATGTGTACAAGAAAGCATCCTGTTTCTAATAAAGCTGCACGTAACGATCACCTGAGCTCTACAGAACATCTGTTTTTGACGATCCGAGATCAGACAGAACACCTACATGACCAAACCCTCACTGGCTTTCATGGCGAACACACACCATACGGTCGCCACATGTAGAGAGACAGAGCCAGGTGATTGATCGATGTACACTTCCTGTGTGTGTGTGTCTATGTGTGTGTGTGTGTGTGTGTGTGTCTAGTGTTGCAAGCCAAACAGTGTGTCTGTCATCAGAATTCAGTTTCCCTCCGAGCGCACAAATCACTCACATATGGCCTCGCAGCTGCCCCTCGTTGCAGCACACCTGAAAATATTCCACTTCCACTGACTAATGAAGGCAAAAGCAAGATTTGGGGAGGAGGCCTCCATCCAAGAAGTTTGCTATGGCTAATCAAACCTATGCTATGATAGCACAGAGTGATGGATCAGTGTCAATTACATAGGAGAGTACAAAAATAGTCTAAAAAAAACTGTGCTCAGGATCTCCAACTTCCGTTTCACTTATCAGATGCACGGCTTGATATTTGTGGAATTCTAAAAGCTCCATGTATAAATACTGATTGTTGATTGCAAAGTACTGTACATGTCAGGTTTGTTCAGCAAAGTTTCCATCCACGGTGTTCTGGTGCTTTCCAAACAAACCGTGTATGTTTAGTTGATTTATTACTCRTACCTGGCCTCTCCCACTCACCTCAGCCTGCAGAAAAGGGCTGCTGTTAATTAGAGCTCCAAGTCTTAATGACATCTATTTATCTGCAGCCTGTAATCGTTCATTTGGCACCAACATGACGCCCTCTGACAAAACATACACACACTCAGAAAGATAGATATTCACCGGTCAGCAAATTCTC